AGCTTCGCCGCCTTCCCGCCCTGAACTTGCAGCCCGTCGCCCTGGGCGCAGCGCTGCCAGCTCCGCACCCCCGGCCAGCCCCAGCTACAGCCACCTGCAGCGGCTGAAGCGAACTCTCGCTGCCCGCCAGGTCTAGCTCCAGGAACCAGGGCAGCTCTTGCTTCCTCCCATGCTGGCCGCCGGGCCCCTCTCGCCGCCCGCGTGAGATCACACCTGAGCCACTGCTGCACCTGGGTGCCCGCAGCCCCGGCTCCTCTTCTCCCTCAGCCGGGAGCCCTCTCGGCCAGGGCCAGGCTCCGCCGCTCGCGGCCAGGCAGCCTCCTCCTCAAGCGAAGGAGGGTTCCCGGGGCACACAATGGAAGAAAATGGGAGATGAGAGAAGGGGAGTGATTCAAAGCCACACCCACTGTCTCCCCCTTGGCTAGGGACAGCGAGTACAGCCCAGAAGCGCCTCTCGGTCCCGACCCACTCCCGCTCCAAAAATGCACTTTACAAACCGCGCCAGGCGCCGGCAGAGCCCCGGCCAAAGCCCCGAGCGCTGCCCCACGTGCCCAGCCTCTGGGCCCTGCGGGCTCAGCCCCCTGGGGCTGCAGAGTACTTACAATTTCACCATCAGTCCCGGGAGCCAGATGGAAATCTTTGCCTCGATCACATCCGTTAGCTGTGGGCTCCTCACCCAGGGACGGCGGCTCGCCAGCCATGCGCATGCGTCCCCAGCTTTTATAGGATGCTTATTTGACTGTATATTCCACTGGCGTGTCCCCCTCCCCCTCTTCAGCCACCAGAATGCCCGGGATCTGCGTCCCCCACCTGCCCCGGATCGGGTTGTGAGTAGGGAAAAGCAACAGCCCCGCACAGGGCGGTGGAAGGGACTAGCCCAGAGTAAACGAGAACTGCACTATGAATGCCAGCGAGGCTGCTTAACAAGTGCCTCTGGAAAACAGCTTCTGTCCCTCCCTCAGTCCCTGCACAACACCTTGCCCTGCTGACAGGAGAGCTGCCTCTTCCCCTAAACCCAGCGAGCGCCCAGAGGGTGACACACACACGTGTTTGTGTGCATCACAGGCAGCCTACACCTGGGGCCACATCTGCCACAAACACATTGTGTTAACCGACTGGGGAGGGAACGGGGGTGGAGAGTTCCACGGATCCAACCTGATTTCCCCCCCACCCCCCACTGGGTGGTAGAGAGGAGATATTTTTGGACCCCTAAACCCAGCGAGCGCCCAGAGGGTGACACACACACGTGTTTGTGTGCATCACAGGCAGCCTACACCTGGGGCCACATCTGCCACAAACACATTGTGTTAACCGACTGGGGAGGGAACGGGGGTGGAGAGTTCCACGGATCCAACCTGATTTCCCCCCCACCCCCCACTGGGTGGTAGAGAGGAGATATTTTTGGATAAACACCACGGATCCAACCTGATTTCCCCCCCACCCCCCACTGGGTGAGAGAGAGGAGATATTCTAGGATAAACAAGCGAGTGTGTTGGGGGCAAGAGGGAGGGGCTGCACGGGAAGGAGGTCGTGCGGTGGTGTGTTCCATATTTGGGTTTCCTTTTAATAGGCGCCCTTAAATCTGGCTCGTCTTTATATGGGTATGGCTTGGCGCGTTTAGGTAATTGCAGGGGCGAGTTTCCCCCCTTCGCTGGTTTCCGTGTGTGTAAAAACGCCCGTTCCGATAAATTGCCGCATACGGAGCAGGAAATGAATCGGATCTAAAGGAAGGGTTATGCTTGACTGTGCAAAAATTCTGTGCATAAACGGCAACCGGGAAATCATGCATCCGTGTGGAGATCAATGGATCCTGCCTGCTCTAGCCTGTATTTGACTCAGGGAAACATCCCTACGTATGTACTGCATTCAGACACTGCTCCAAAGGAAACCACAGTCCTATGCTCAGAGCACAGATGTAAGGGCTCGCCACGAAGGGCTGCTCAGGGCTTGCAAAATTGTTGCTATTTTGTGACCCCTCTGCCTGGGCAGGAGTTAGGAGGCGACGCGCTATTTCCCTGAAACTGAAATGGATATGATACATAAATAACATTCACGTCACTTCCTCCGACTTCCCAGGAGCTGGAATCAAGGCTCCCTGGTTACAAGAGAGGGATCACAACCAGCCTGGCAATGGTGACAGATTTCCGTCTGCATTGGCACCAGGGGGCAAAACCACCATCGTAACCAGCTTCATGTGTGTAGCCACAAACAACGGCGCGCGGGGATCACTGCCTGCGACAGTCTCATAGGTCACAACCGCCCTGCTTCTACCATTGGCCAGCAAGGGGCGTTAAGCTGTCACCGCTCTTAGCCTTGAATATTGATGCGAGTCCCTCGACACCCCCTCTCCCCCGCAATCTTCCAGTTACAGCCGGGATCGCAGTGTTAAATCTCGTTCAAATTAGCTGCCGTGGGTTGCTCTAGCTGCAGACCCAGGTGTCCCCAGGCAATCAAGGCACCCTGAGGAGGAGGAGGGGAGCCTGTCTGAGGAAGTGGTACTCACAGCAATGAACGGCTCACGGAAAGTTCCGTGTTTCCTGAACGCGGCTCCTTTGCATTTGGGGCATCTCTGGTGTTTCCAGAAGAGGTAGCTGCGTGGTGCGGGCCCGGCCCGGCGGCCTTCTAATAACGCCCACAGCTGGCTTGGGGCTGCGGCCTGTTTCCTGGAGACCAGCGTCCCTGTTGGGAAGGGGCTGATGTTAGACACAGGGGTAGCTGGCACAGCTGGAAGAAGGGCGGTGGCAAAGCGAGGGCAGAGCCTGGGAGCTGACAGGAGCGGGCGAAAGGAGGAGCTGGGGAACAGATAGAAGCGGGGCAGCAGGGCGAGGGCCCGGAAAGCTTTTGGAGGCTAAAGGAGGAGTGGGGGAGAGAGAAACAAAATAAACGTTAATTACTAAGCGGGTCCACCAGCCACACCCGAGTCAGACGATTTCCTTTTAATGCTGCTTCCCCAAGGCAATTGGCTTATTTGGAGAAGCAAACACGCCTGCTCCCCACTGTAACCTCCAACGCCTAGACGGCTTGCGGGGGGGCGGGGGGCTTAGTATCTCATTTCCCACTTTTGTAGGCGTAAAAGTGGCTCAGCGCGCAACTCTCCCCGACTCAAGGCTCTGGTGGGCGAATTCCTGCGGAGGCCGGACACATACTGTTGGGCGGAGGGGGCGGGGGAGAAGGATGGGACCGCAAACTGCTACAGCCCTTCGGAAACAGTGCGAGGCGCCCCCTCCCTTTGTTTTCCTTTAACGTTACAGCTCAGCTACGGCGTTTCCTTCCCTTTACATGTCTGACACTTCGGAACGCTTCTCCCGACGTGGGATTTTAGCCATTAGTTACCAGTTCAGCACCGGGCCCCTGGGCAAGGCACTGACACATAGGAGCAGACACGGAGCTTGCAGTATAATTAATGCTGCATTTTCCTGACCCAAGCTACTGAGGTTTTCTAAGACACCCTTTCTCCCCTTAACAATATCAAGACACTTCCCAGAAGGGTAGCTCTCTGTTAATCTGTAACTATGAAACCCACAAGTAGTCCTGTGGCACCTTAGAGACAGACAGATATCTAGATAGATAACATCTCGAGCTTTTGTGAGCACAACCCACTTCATCAATTTTTTTCAGATGATGAAGTGGGTTTTACCCACGGAAGCTCACGATCCTATATATTTTTGTTAATATCAAGACACGATCAACTTTTCACACTAATACACTTTGTCAAACCACCCCAAGAAGTCAACCTCACTCTTGTCCTAGAATTGAGTGTACCAAGATGGGTAGCCAGCCCAGGCACAACCCTTCCCCCTTCCCTGACCCTACGCAGCCAATGATAAGCAGCAGCGAGGAGGTGAGAGGAACGGAGAATAATGCCACGAAAAGGCAAGGCGTGGAAGGGGAATAAGAGGGGAGGGGAAGCAGCCAGCGATAAGGATTTTAGGCAGCTTGGAATGCCGCTAGCAATTGCAGAGCTGCTGTCCAGGGTCCTGAAGCTGACACACGAGGGCAAACTGCTTGCCCCTTGCTGAACACTGTTACCTACGCTATTGCTGCAGGGTGCACACTTTCACAAACACTCCTTAGCTCTACCCTGCTGGGGGAGCCTTGGCACGGAGCTCCATGCCGCCAGGCAGAGGACGGGGCTTTTTCTAGAGTGACTTCTTTGACTCGCCAAGTGACACCTGAGCTTTCTCCTCCGTTCCTACCATGGAGATCTTGCATTTCCCCAATCCAGGCTGCAAGCCTGTCAAGCCTCAGTAAACCCATCCTCAGCCCTGATCCTCATTTCCCCCTGTGCTACTGGGGACAGGGAAACTTGCTTCCCTAAGGCGCAAAGTCAGCATTTTAAGCGCCCCACAAAGCCCGCTATGCGGCAAGCTTGCAGAGCACAGCGGAAGCCTATCGATTGGTTAATGAGGCAGGAGAACACGGCGGCGGTGTTGTTATTGCAAGGTTAAGCGGCTTGTGGGATTCGAGAAGGGTAGTAGGGGAAGCTGCTGTTTCTTACGCGCACCGGAACCCTGCGGTTGCTTAGCAGCAGAGCTTTTTTTCTAGGTACGATCAATGGGGGAAGCTAAGACGGGGACTGGGAGGTGAGGGGGAACCACGCCTGTGAGTCAGCCGTAATCAGAGCCCGGGAAAGGCCGCAAACTAATTAGCCTCATGTGGAAAAACGCCTTCCAAACGGGCAGGATAAGTGGCCTGAAAACAGGAGAAAACCTGCCGAAGGGTGGAGCAGCTAAGCCATTGACTTCAGCCACAATCTACCCAACCGGTTAGCGAAGAAGACCCCTCCTTAGGGACTCCTGAGCTGGTGGAATCAGAGACTCAGAGAGCTAATAGTTCCAACTCTGCCAGCTCCTATTGATTACTATAGTGAATCTCTCTGTCAGGCTGGAGTTATTAGGAAAAGGCAGGAACTGTAGAGGTCTGTTTGGTGAAGTCATCTCTGTGTTAAAGCCCCAATGCTATTCTATCTCTTACGACTTTCCAGAGGTGCTGTTCTACATGTCTTGAGAAGAAACGAAAGGAGCCCTGAGAGAGAATGAGGGTAGGGTTGTATGACTGTATTAGCCATCCCTTTTTGGTTGAGCGTCACATTGAACAGTGCCAAACATTTTTTATCAAAGGTTGTGGGAGAATGAGCTGGCCTGTATTCCCAGGAGAAAATAATATAGCTTGATTTTTTATCAGCTGAATATTTCCCCGTTCTTTGAACTCAAAGAAACTCTGCTGTCTATGAAACTTCTCTGTAAAACCCTTCCCCCATACACAGTGTCCACTGGGATGTTAATTATGCCATTCTTCACAGTTATTAAATCTTACTTACCACCTGGTGATCCTACATGCAGAGGTTTTAGTGGCACTGAGGTTTGCTTGACAACAATAATAACAGAGCTTGATAAATTTATGGAGGTGATGGTATTATGAGATTGCCTGCTGTGGCATGTGCCCTATTTGTGATGGATTGTAGCAAAAACCTTTAACAACCAGAGATGGGATGTGATATGGGAAGGGCTCTGAGTTATGACAGTGAATTATTTCCTGGGTGTCTGGCTGATGGATCTCACCAACATGCTCACTGGTCAGCATATTTGGGGTTGGAAAGGAATTGAAACCCTGTTTTTTTTGTTTTGTTTTGCATTCCTCTGCAGCATAGGGCATGGATGATGTGCTGGTGAGAATTAGCATAATTCTCTGTTACTAGACACCTTTAAATCACAGTTTAAGGTCTTCAGATTTAACATCTTCATCCAGAGGTTATAAGTTGATCACAGATGTAGTGAGTGAGTCTGTGTGGCCTGTTATGTGCAGAAGGTCAGACAGAGGAAATGTCTACACTGTGGTGCTATTTTGGGATACTTCTGGTATCCTGAAATAGCTGTTCTGCATCTTTTAAACAAGCCCGTTATTTTGAAATAGCTTTAGAAATAATGGGCTCGCTATTCTGATGTCCCTGTAAACCTTATTCCATGAGGATTAAGGAACATTTTGGAATAGTGGTTTATTTCAAAATCTGGCACTGTGTAGACTACACCATATTCAAAATAAGCTGTTTCAAAATACACTTGAAATAAGCCAGGCAATTTGCGTAGCTTATTTCAGGCTATGGGTGCAGTGTAGACCCACCCTATGGGTGCATTGTAGATGACCACAATTGTCCCTTCTAGCCTTAAAGTCCATGATTAAATAACACTGTCTCTAGATGAGAGGGTGGGGAACAACAGGGACAAGGTTAGCATCTATGCCTAGAGATTAGTCTGTGGTGAATCTTTTTGGAACTGATACAAAGCACCTTGAGGTCCATGGAAAGACTTCTACTGACATCACTGGATTTTGAATCAGAGCCATACTCAGCCTGTGGGGAGCATTTATAAACAGTGGCATTTAGAACTTAGCTGAAATGTTTCACTTAAAGCCTATCCAGGCTAAAAATAATCTATAAGAACTAAGATGTGTTTTTACATGCTAACTAACCTGCTTTAATTTATACTTGTGTAGAGAGGGTATAATACCTTTAAATGTATTTTCTGGTCACACTTCATCTTAGGCTTCCCTTTAGAGTGGACCATATTCAGATAACAGGTTTTGAAACAGGACTGTATTTACTAACACTATATATTAAAATATATATTAGTTAATATGTCCTGCAAGGCCACCCATTCTCCCATTGTAGATAGCTCCTTACTGTCTTCAGGTCTGAGATGTTAAAGGAAGCAATGGTGGTCTTTGGTGGCATTCTCCATCTACTGCACTATTCAATAATCCACCGCCAATGTTTGCATTATTAGATTGTTAAGATTTAGAAATGGAGTCATAACACATGGATTGTATTTTGAATAAAACGTCATAAAACCAAATATTGACAGTTCCCTGTGCACCATTCAAGGTTCAGGACTCAATTTCAACATCAGCATTAACAAAGAATAGAGAACGGCTCTATAAGAGTATCAGAAAAATCTCTCTGTAAACCTTTGCTGAACATTAACAACTAAATTCACACAAGCTAGTGATAACATACTTAAAATAACTTGGAATTTAATTTTGTTTTAGGATGCAGCCCTTTACTTCTATTCTGGAAAGGATACAAATAGACTTTACTGAAAGCTACACCAAAATATATTATTATCATTTATATTTTCCTTATACTTAGCCTGTCTGGTTCAGTCTCCAAAGTGTGGAACTGTCAATATATTTTCATCATTAGTTCCTCATGGGATTGAAAATTCCAGTGATTGTTATTATTGCAATGTTATAAATGCAATCCCTTTGAAGTTTCTAGCTGGAAATCTTAAGATCAAGATGATCATAAATAGGGTAAAGTAGCAGTTGATTCTGTAATTCTAATTACTATGTAATTTTCTGATATATTTTAATATTCAGTCCATCACACTGCAAAACACAAATTAGCATCTTTTTTTTTTTGCATTAATAGAGTTAGTATAAATACCTGAGGCTCATACCTGATTTCTCCCTTGCTGAAGCCAAATCCTATTAATTTGTGCTTGGATGAAGAGTGCAAGACTGGGTCCTTGCAGGAACTAGCCAATTATCAGAAGTTATTATTTGGTAAGATTAGTTAAATTAAGATGATGTAATTATTTCAATATAACCTAAGGGAGCCATTATTGTGCCTTATTTGTCATGGGAAATGAAAGCTTTCAAAATTAAAGTCTTTGTTTCAAAGGTATTTCAATGTTTGCATGCCAGCGATTATTTTTTTATGTGTGTTACTTTGTTAATGAGTGAAATCATAAATACACACCATATATTTACATTTTTTAAAAGAATGTATTTTAAAGTTACCATAATTGCACATATTACCAGAAAAACTTTATTGGAGCATATTTAAGATAAAAACTAGTAACTTTCAGTGTGTCCTATCTTTCCTTAATTAACCTGTTGCTAAAAGGCACCTGGGTACAATACTAATGGGTGGCAGCCCAAAACCCTGAGGCAGGGACCATAATAATTGTAAAATCTGTATTGAATTACAGTGGAACTCCTAAATTCCCTTAAAATTAACAAGAAACTTGTAAATGGATTGAACATTCAAGCCTATGCAGTTTAAAGCAGAGGCAGTCTTCACATCAAATGACTGTACTATGCCTGAAGACTTCCTGTTAATACTTTATTTTAATAGGCATTGTAATCATACAGAAAAACAACTGGAGCCAATCCATTATTTCAGGAATAAGGACATATTTCAAACAATGTCCTTTTATTTTCAAAAGGTGAAATTCACCCCTCCGCTGAAATCCCATATAAGGCCAGATGCATCAGCCATATGTGAGACCTGGTCTGCAGGGAGACGGGGAGCAAAGCCTTGGAGCACGCCCGCAGCGAGACAGCCCAGGCGCGCTTGGGCTGTCCCCCTGCGGGCGTGCTCCGCAGCTGGAGCGGCCCCCCGGGGGGCTGGCTCCGTGGCTTTGCTCCCCGTCTCCCAACCAGCAGACCAGGGAGACGGGGAGCAAAGCCGTGGAGCACGCCCGCAGGGGGACAGCTCAAGCGCACCTGGGCTGTCCCGCTGCGGGCGTGCTCCAAGGCTTTGCTCCCCGTCTCCCTGCAGATCAGGGAGACGGGGAGCAGCTTTTCTCGCCCCGGAGGACGGGGGCGGCGGACCGCAGCGCGTCTGGGCGTCCCGCTACTCCCGTCCTCCGGGGTGAGAAAAGCCCCGTTCGTAACTGCGGATCTGACATAAGTCGGATCCGCATAACTCGGGGACTGCCTGTATAGTAATTTGCCTTTTCTAAAATCCAAGCGATCAATATGGAATGATGCAAGTCTGGACAGATCATACATACAACACAGTCATTATAATAGCACATCTTCAATCATCTTTCACTGTTACCTGTAAACAAATTTCTTAAGATACACCAAAAACATTAGCCCTCACCGAAAACTAAGGGTTGATACTCAGTTGACATAAACTATCGTGCTATCCTCGCATAAGAACATAAGAATGGCCATACTGGGTCAGACCAAAGGTCCATCTAGCCCAGTATCCTGTCTACCAACAGTGGCCAATACTAGATGCCCCAGAGCACAACAGGCAATCCTCACAAGATCACCCCTCCCTGTGACCCACCTCCAGAGAAACAGAGGCTAGGGACATCATTCCTACCCATCCTGGCTAATAGCCATTGATGGACCTAATCTCCATGAATCTATCTCTTTTTTTAACCCTGTTAAAGTTCTAGCCTTCACTGCATCCTCTGGCAAGGAGTTCTACAGGTTGACTGCACTGAATGAAGAAAAACTTCCTTTTGTTTCTTTTAAACCTGCTGCCTATTAATTTCATCCTCTATTACCTACATCAAGGGATCACTGACCATTTACATTAGCTAGGGATCTGGACCAGAGTCTGTGGCAACTGCAAAGTTTGACAAATAATCCCTGCTGTGTTCAGTCACAAAAAGTCACTTCTACATAACACGAATGGTTTATAAATCTTACAAAACAACAACAAAATCTGATCAGTAACTAACTATGAGAAACATTGCTCAAAAGACAAAAGGAATGTTATGTATAATGAATACAGGGGTTTAGATTAGAAGAGTTAATTCAATCTATGACAACAATTATTATGCTAATTATTCTGGCTCCAATCCACAGCAATTAAGCATGCAGATAACTTTAAGATTGTGTGTGAAGCACTTCTACTCAGGTCTATGGGACTGCTCATGTGCTTAATACATTATTGAATCCAAACATCTGGCAGACTGGCAGAAAAGCCCCAAAATCTGCAGCTTAGATTACTCAGGAGATGATTATATATTGAGATATTGCATTCAGAATCTTTTAAAAATTTGAATCTTTGACTAGATATAAAGACAGAAAACATCATTTCCTATGTTTGTGCAAAAGAAGCCCTGCTAGATTTAATAGGAATCTATACAATATTCTTTGTGATAACATTTCAATCAATCAATCAATCAATCAATAAAATGTAATGCAATTATATTTTAAAATCATTACATTCATGTATGAACTCCATCCATTTTATTTACAAAACTTTGTAGATTAATCAAGATTCTTTAAAACACATTTTTTATTGCAAAACTTTGTTAGCATATTCTGATGGAATCAAATATTGTAGTAAAGATCTGACAAATGGTGGTCAGGAAATGCCTATTTTACTTTAAAGCCCACAATTAACAAAAGACAGTAAGGGTATGTCTACATTGCAATGCTATTTTGGGATACTGGAGTATCCCGAAATAGCTATCCCACGTTTTCACAGCAAGCCCATTATTTCAGGCTTGTTATTCTGACATCCCTGTAAACCTCATTCTTTTATAGGGGTAAGGGATATTTCAGAATAGCACTTTATTTTGAAATTTGGCACTGTGTAGCTAGCCAAATGATTAAATCAGCTATTTCTAAATAGCATCAAAATAAGATACGCAATTTGCGTAACTCAAATTGTGTATCTTATTTTGAGTTATGGTGCTGTGTAGACACACCCTTTGAGATCAGAGCATGGAATAGTACAGTGGTCGCCAACGCGGTGCCTGCAGGCGCCTTGGTGCCTGCTGAGGCATTTATGTGCGCCCGTTGAATCATCTGGGCCGGCCCCACCCCCGGTGCACAGCACATGCATGGTGCCGGCCCTGGGCATGTGGCGCATGGGTGGCCCCGGCCCCGGGCGCGCAGCAAATGTGTGGTGTTGGCCCTGGGCGCAAGACACGTGGGTGGCCCCTGCCCCGGGCACGCGGCACATGTGCGGTGCCGGCCCCGGGTGCAGGGCGTGTGGGCAGCCCCGCCCCGGATGCGCGGCACATGAATGGCCCCGCCCCTTGGAGCCCGGCAGCCCCGAAAGGTTGGGGACCACTGGAATAGTATACTATTAATTTAAATAACTTATTACAAATTTCCAGCAGATGTCACTATTGGTCTATAAATTACATTCTGAAGAAAAATCAGTTGAGGATTAATGAAGTTAAACCTAGGGTACTATTCTTCCTTGTGCTGCAAGGAGGCCTCTTTTATTATGCATGCCTTGCACATTATGTTTGTTAAGTGAGGGAAGACCAGAGAACTTTCTCTTTTCATTATAATAGGGAAAAATTAAAATCCTTCATATAGTCAAATTTGACCTAGTACAGATATTATCCTGTCATGCTCTACGGGGCATACCTCAATGATTATTCTCATTTGTATTAGTATGTTCTGCATAGGTGAGAGCGGTGAGGCTGAAATTCAGAGGAGAAGCTACATTTCAATAGTTTTTATAGTAATAATGGGAACAAAAGGCATGGTGGTCAACCATATAGGACATAAAAAACAAAAATGCTGGGTATCTGCTTAAGATCACGAACAGAGAAAGAGGACAAAAATTTCTAGAAAATTCTATGGGTTCTCTAGGCCATAATAAACAATTTTAACTACACAGACAACTGGTAAATAATAAATACAGTCAAACATATTATTTATGGAGGTTCCTAAATTAATGTGATTGACACTTGTGGATGCGAAAAGTACAGACTCCAACCAAAGTAGAAACTGGCCAAGTTCTACTCCTGATCATGAGGAATTTATTCAGTAAATGAAAACAATAGAAAAATGTGGAAGCAGTGCTTTTGAGCAACTTGAAGTTAGCATAGCAAAGAATAACTTGAAGCCACGACTACGGAACTTGTCAGTACAGGAATATTACAGCCTGATACTATTCCACAGAAGCCAGTGAGAGTTTTGTAACTGATTTAAATGAGAGCAAGAACAGGCCCATTTCTAAAATTTTCTGAAATCAATCAATTTAGGATGGAGTGTGCAATCAGAGGAAATAAAATTCACTCATGTAGGAGGTGGCTGGAGAGCAGTAAAAGTTATTTCATAACTACAATGAAATATACTAGTTACCATGAAAAAGAAGATTGACAAGATGAGCAGAAGCCAGTGAGGGAGTGCTTAAAGATTTGAAGTTACATAACTACTTGCAGGCAGAAAAAAGCAGATGGTAAGGTAAACAAACAGGCATACTCAGAATTGGTAAAGTCTAGCAGGAAGAATACAACAAAGCCACATCACACTTCCTCCACTCACACAAACACACAAAGTGCAGGGTGACTTCCAAACTTTGCTTTCAATGTATCTTTTAACATATTTAAGTGAGAAGTTTGAATGATTCCTGCATGAAGTAGAGATTATCAGTATAATGATAAAGAGCAGCTATACTCTGGTAATAGTATAGCTATACTCTGATAATAGCGGGAAAAGTGAGCATTGATGATGATAAGTCTCCTGGGGTATTAAGGGTACGTCTAGACTACAGGGTTTTTTCGACAGAAGTTTTGTCGACAGTATCTGTCGACAAAACTTCTGTCGACAAAGAGCGTCCAGACACATTCAGTTCTGTCGACAAAGCAAGCTGCTTTGTCGACAGAATCCTGTAGTCTAGACGCAACCCTACAGGCAATAACACCTTCTGTCGACAGAAGGTGTTATGCCTCGTAAAATGAGGTTTACCAGCGTCGACAAAACTGCTGAGTTCTGTCGATGTTATGTCGACAGAACTCAGTGGTAGTGTAGACGCTGGTATAGTTTTGTCGACAAAAGTCCACTTTTGTCGACAAAACTCAGTAGTCTAGACACACCCTAAGAGTATGACTATACCTAATAACACCAGTGATTATGGGTGTTAGCCTCGTTGTAGACTATTCCTGCCTAGGAGAGTGTCAACCCCTCCCAAGTTTCTATTATCAGGGTTTCCTGATATTTTTTCTGTTAGATATAGGTGGCAGTGAGTGTCTCCCCCACTCCTCCCCATGCACTCACAGAGAAGTGGGCAGTTCATGGCATTTAAACCATGTGTGCATTATGCAGAAGGAGAGCAGACAGTGTTTTGAACTGGAGGCAGCAAAGATTAGTTTTGTACTTGTCATAGATTTTGTAGCAGATCCTCACCTGGTGTAAATAGTCAGAGCTCCACTGATGTCAACTGATGAGTATGATGAGTTTTGCCAGCTGATGATTTTCCCTTAGATTTCAATGAGAGGCAGTATCTTATGTATCATTTGAGAGCCAGGTGTATCATGAGAGATCCTGTGGAGTCTAGTAGTCCCCTTGCTTCCCCCTGGCTGCTCAATCACACACTTCTCTTTGAACAGGCTAGAACATGCTATCAGAGGTTTCTCTGACCTTGGCTATCACTTGAATACCTTTCAATGCTTCCCTAACTACAAAGGAACAAACAATGTACTGTACATTACTACAGGTTCTAATTCTGGGTGGCTCTTGAGAGATGTGGGAGAGCAGCATGGATCATTGGGAAGTAGGAGCAAAGGTAGCTTTACTTCATATGGATTCTAGGCTAGTGGAGGAGCTGAAATATGATCCCACGTCTGGTCTTACCTGAGCAGCACTGCAGCCCCAAATCCCCATAAGACTGGGGCACTATGGTTACTGCCTCACCTACGCCAGGCCTTGTGTGTGCATATATCTGTGTGTGGGAGGAATGTGGAGAGCAATGCAGGGTCATTGATATTGGCCTTGTGCTTTCCTGAGTGAGAGGAATTCACTTCTACTACCTAAGGTTCATTTTAGCCTCAATATTCTATCAAAATAGCATAGAGGAGCCAGAGTGAGTCCAGTTTGATAGGACGGCCATATTGAGTCAGACCAAAGATCCATCTAGCTCAGTATCCAGTCTGCTGACAGTGGCCAATACCAGATGCCCCAAAGGGAGTGAATGCAACAGGCAATCATCACATGATCCCTCTCTTGTCATTTCCAGACAAACAGAGGCTAAGGACACCATTCCTACCTATCCTGGATAATAGCCATTGATGGACCTAACCTCCACGAACTTGTCTTTTCTGAACCCTGTTAAAGTCCTAGTCTTCACAACAACCTCTGGCAAGGAGTTCCACAGGTTGACTGTGCGCAGCATGAAGAAAAGCATCCTTTTGTTTGTTTTAAACCTGCTACTTACACAGCCAAACCACTATTTTGAAATAAATTCAAAATAGCAGAGCGCTTATTTCAAATTTGGTAAACCTCATTCTACGAGGAATAATGCCAAATTCGAAATAGCTAATTCAAAATAAGTGCTGTGTAGACACTTATTTCGAAATAGGGGGCCTCCAGCCTTCCCAGGGTGCCCTGGTGGCCACTCCAGCCTCAACCAAGAACACTCTTCTCCCTCCTCCCTGCCCCGGAGCCCATAAAGGGGTTGACTCTGGCCACAGTGCCTGTGCCAGCACCAAGCCTGCCAGCTCAGAGCTAGCAGTCACTGCCCCTGACCCAGTGGCCACTAACCTCATAATGTCCGGTGGCACTAACCTCATAATGTCTCATAGCCTATTCCATGAGAGGTCTGAAAGATATAATAACCCTTCTCTTATTGGAGTGATTGGGGGAGGGAATCTCTGTGAATTCTCTTATGGAGTTTCTAACTAGAGTTCCCTTCTGTGTGTGTTCCTCCATAGCAGAGGTATGATCTGGGCTCTTGTTTAAAAAAACAGTTAAAGTTGAAAAGGGACAAGAACCTATCACATCACTTACAAAAACCCAGCACTTAAAAAAATAGTTAAGGGCATCGTAAACATGACACTGATCACAGTAAATGCCTACTTGTTATTCACATATACATAAAATTGTATTTCCTCCCCACACAACAGCCTAACTCTGACCTATGAGGGTTTTGTTCTTGATTTTGTTATCTAAATATTAAAAAACCCCCCACCACATGTAGGTTTATTTAGAGAATGTTTGAGAACAAACAACAGATACTATAAAATACAAATGGGTAGACAAGTGACTTCCTCTCTTTGCTCCAACACACAATGCACACATGTTGTAGCAGGCCAAATCTTGCTCTCTTTCTGGGGATTTGTTTTATTTATAGAAGAAGCTGAAAAATAAATGAGACAAAATCTAGCCCAAGCCGTCCTCCCTTTAACACCAGCCAAATCTAACATTTCTCCATGTGAACTAGTCAGCCCCCATGCTAGATATTCAGTCTCTGGAAAGGCACTCCCACCTTCCTATGGTGTGGGTGGGATAATGAACCACTTGCAACAGTGAGTGAGCAAAACAAATGTAACCTTTCCCAGCCAGATCATTCATACCTGTTAACTAGGTGGAGTTGTCGGCAAGCTTTGCCTGTCAGTTGTAGTCTGTTCATATATTTCTCAATTGACAGTGGAAATGTAATTATACTGGTTCTTTCTTTAGAATAACATTTTATATGTATGATATTAGTGAAATGTGATACTTGCTTCTGAGGCTGATCATTTTGAAAACTATTCTGTTTCTTTTAAATAGTTTTTTCTGGTGAGCCCTGAAGTCACTGACTGTGTTTCTAGGACTGAGGCTACACAAAGGTACTACATTTTACTTCAATATTTTCCTTCAATACCACATGCTTCCATGTCGCCGTTCACCCAGGTCTGAGGAACATGCCTCAGATGGTGCCCTGGCTTGCTCTGGACTCATTAGGCAGTCATAGGGGAAAGAAGGCAAGAAGTAGCAGAGCTGCTGACTTTTCCCTCCTGTACCATCAATGTGGTATTGCTTGGTCCTGTTTCAATCTCCCTATGTTAGTGAGGAGGAGTGTTTAGATCTTCCATATCCCTATGGTTAGTCTGTTCAGAATTCAGATTGAAAGAAGAATTCAGGAACTAACACAATGTTTTCTTTCACTGAAATAGATCTGTATATAGTTGTGAAAACATATACCCCTTTGATACAGGACAGTCTAGGATTGCTTTGCTAAACAATGAATGGAATCATGTTCAGGTGTTTGAATTAGTGTGACAGAGGGTTATATTTTTGCATTTTTGAGAGTATTATCCTAATTAACCCAGGATTTAGCATATTTACATTTCAAAGATTCATGGCAAGAGGAGAGAATTTGGGAGCTATTTCAAAGAAAAACTACATTGGTCACACAACTGTGAAAATAGCAAGATTGCAAATTTGTACAAAATGGTCTGAAGACTGGAATAGCATACACTTAATTAATAGGCAAGTAATCTGCCCACTAATGTGCATAAGTTATCACCGTGACTATTAATGCAGAAATTGCCCTTTAATTATAGCCTGTGGAATTATTCCAGGCTCTCAAAAAACACTGAACACTGCATATAGTCATAAAATCTCTCAGCAAATTTTCTTGATGCTAAAGTAAAAGCCTTTGTGAATAAAAATGTCTCATGTTTAATTTTTTATGTTCTTGCAATTGCAGAATAGCATGGAAAAGAAGCTGTGCTGATCTTTTTCTTTGTTTCTACCTAATACAGTCATTCCTGACAAAGCTAACCCTCAGCTCTTGCATTCAAGCAGAAGTACGAAAGATCAAAGTGCATCATTCCTCTTAAAGGAGCTAAAATTAAACTCTTTCACTTGAGGGGAATAGACTGGAATGCTGAGCACACTGAGACAAGCCGGGAGCTGGAAAACTATCTGTATAGGAACTTGCGATCAAGGGGTTACTGCTGAGGCCAAAATGTTTGGGTTGCATTCTAGCATAGCTGGTATGTCACTGAGAAGAAAGCTAAACTGAGGCACAGCTATGACATCTCCCCACGATTTTATAAGGTTTAATTTAAGCCCTGATCATTCATGTATTCAGAGAGGCTCCAACTCAAGTCAGTGAGCAAGAGCGTGTGACCAAAGGTTTATAAAGTATTCTGAGAATGAAATGTGGTGATTTGTTTATATGCTAGAATTATGCAAATGGCTTGATTGGCCCCTGGAGGAGGGAGCAAGGTTGTCCAGATTCCCTCTTTGCTGTCCAATTGGGCTAAAGGGAGAGACCATTGCAGGAAAGGGCTACCACCCTTTCAGTGCAGAGAGGCTAGGAAGAGAGAGAAGAGTTGCAGCTCAAAGGCTGAGGAAGGCAGCAGCTGGAGGAGCAGACCAAAAGTGGGACTGTACTACCCCTGATCTCCAGGGGACAAATTAAATGAGCAGAGCCTGGGAAAGTCTAATAACTGCACCTAGTGTAGAGACTTGGAGCCAGACAGACTTTAAGGAGGCAGGGCTGTGCCCAGTCTGTAACTGGGGTGGAAGAAACCTTTTCTTGGTATTATGTCGATGAATCACTTCCCCAAATGAGGGTTTGGTATGGGAACTCGTGAAGGAGAGATTGAGTCAGGGCATCTCAGAGCCATGCTTAGCCAGCAGTAGGATCTATAGGGTAGAGCCACACTTTTACACCTCCCCACTTTACCTGAGAAATGTGTGAGCTGATCCCAAATAGAATGTTAGTGGAATTTTTACACCACACATGGTCCATGTGACTATGAAAGGTCATGCCATGAATGAATACAGTATGACACTTTACAGAAAAATCATTCATCAGAAGATCTCAAAGAACTTTAGAATGGTAATTAATTAAGCTCCAACAACAGCTTTCAGGAAGCCTTGGACCCCCTAATGTTGCATTAACCACTGCCAGAGTCTCTCACGTTTGTTCCTAGTGTGCGGATATTTCCCTGTCATCCTGGCAAATCAAGCAGTTGCAAATTAAGTCTAGAAATAAACAGCTCACAGAGTTAACTGAAGTGTCACAATGAGTATTCAAAATGGTGCTTAGTGCTCTTCAAATACATTACAGGGGAAATGTAAATGATTTTTGGAAGAATGGTCAAGAATATATATTAAAATCTAACTCAAGAGTCACTTTGCGTGATTTTTTTAAGTCCCATTTATTAAATACTTTAACTGGGTGCTTTTAAGTTTCATGTATCATATGGCAGTTTAGCATTAGATGCAGTGCTCACATTTGGAAGAATAAAGTTTGAGAACTCATTGAAGGCAGAAATACATGCACCAGCAAAGGACGGAAGAAGAGCAGGAATTAGGGAGCACTCCAAATTCCCATCATCCATTTCAAATAACAGTGAACCAGACTCTTAGAACTAAAGACTATATTTGTTGTCACTGATCAATGTCATATTTAGTAATCTTTTGCCAGAGTGACAGCGCCTGAGTTTCTCATAGACTTCAAAACCAAAGAAACCTGACTTTGCATATGCTTAGAGCAGGCTGGTTGGTCTTGAATCTTTTATAAAATCTAGGTTCTCACCCCAGCTCAGCCACAGGTTTTGTGACTTTGGGCAAGTCATTTAATGTCTCTGCCTCAGCTTCCCAGGGTATGTCTACACTACAGAGGTTTTTTTTTGGAAAAATGACCATTTTTCTGAAAAAACCTCAATTATGTCCACACCGCAATTGCATTCTTCCAAAAGAAAATCAAAAGAACAGAGGGGTTTTTCTGACATTGGTAATCCTCATTCTAAGAGGAAGAGGCCTTTTTTTGAAAGAGCTCTTTCAGAAAAAGATGTGGATGGGGAAGAGGAAGTTCTTTTGAAAGAAGAGGAAAAAGCACTGGTGCCCTCCGTCCACAGTAATTACAGCTGAAATGCGAGATAGCATCCACGCTGAATGGACGCTATCTTTTGAAAAAGCAGATTGCTCTTTTGATGCGCTTTTGCAGTGTGGACGCGCTCTTTCGGAAAAAGTTTTTCCAGAAGATCTCTTCCAGAAAAGCTTCTTCTGAAAGAAGCCTGCCGTCTGGACATAGCCCCATCTGTGATGATGGTAGTGTTACATATTTATAGGCTGGATTCCTGAGTTAGATCACTGAAAAAATCCAATCTTGTAGTACCTGAACAGACAAACTGCTTTTGAGGTTGGTGTTAGCCACAGGCTAATGATGCCTAACATGAAAACTATATTGTAACTAAGGGTAATAGTTCTGTCATCACATACAAAGCCTTAAACCTGTGGACTATGTCTACACTCGTGGCTTCTTGTGCAAGTATGGCCCTTCTTGTGCAAAAATCCCCAGAACATCCTCACTGCCCACCTGCTCTTGCACAAGGAAATTTACAGTACAGCGTGGTAAGAGAGGGCTTCTTGTGCAAGAGCTATGCTCTTTTTTAACAGGTGTAAGCCCTCTTGCGCAAGAGGGCAGTGTGGACGCTCGGCAGGGATTTCTTGCACAAGAAAGCCCTATGGCTAAAATGGCCACCAGAGCTTTCTTGAGCAAGAGAGTGTCCACACTGCCATGGGCGCTCTTGCGCAAAAGCACAGCTTGCACATGGCAGTGTGGATGTTTTCTTGCACAAGACTTCTTGCACAAGAACCCTTGTGCAAGATGTTGTTGCACAAGAAGCTGCCAGTGTAGACAAAGCCTTATGGGCCAATCTCTTTGCCCTGCTAGAGTACATCAACTTAGTACAGGGGTTCTCTGAGGGCTTACAAAGAAGGAATTCTCTGATCTCCAGAGCATAAAATGCCTTGGAATGGCTCTGTCAGCTAGGGTGGCCTACACATTTCAGTAGCTCCAAAGCATGTTTTCAATTTTCCTGATGTGATATGGTATCAGAATGTGCAAGGGGGTCATGGTCCATGACTGGGGCTCCTGGCCACTACAATAATAATTAATAGCTGGGAGCATGTGGGTATATCACTAGGAATAATTACATGAAATTATGAAAGGAAACTTTTGTTCAGAGTACTAGGAAAAGCTTACTCCCACTGATGTCATAGGCTGTGGAATAGCCTCCTCAGGGAACTGGTGGAAGTGCTGACATTTAGGATGGTTAGTTACTATGTCTTTGTACTCTCAATAAATGAAATTGCTGACAACACATGTCACCTTCTTGCATAGCCAGTAATAGTGAGGGCCTCAGTTTTACAAGAAAGCACAGCAGCAGAATTGGGGCTATGTAGATCATGGGTCAAGTTCTGGATGACACACCAGAAAAATGGACTCTAGGAGACAACCCTGCACTGGCCCCAGGGAGATGGAATGGATAAGCTACTAGCCATTGCCATCTCTCTACACTACCACCCTAGTTCAAACTAGGGTGGTTAATGTAGTCATTCGAAGTTGCAAATGAAGCCCGGGATTTAAATATCCCGGGCATCATTTGCATCTTGCCGGGCACCGCATTTTTAAATCCCCGTTAGTGCTGATTCCGTGCCCGCGGCTACACACGGCATGGAGTAGGTAGTTCGAATTAGACTTTCTAATTCGAACTACCATTACTCCTCATGGAAAAGCCTAATTCGAACTACCTACTCCATGCCGTGTGTAGCCGCGGGCACGGAATCAGCACTAACGGGGATTTAAAAATGCGGTGCCCGGCAAGATGCAAATGATGCCCGGGATATTTAAATCCCGGGCTTCATTTGCAACTTCGAATGACTACATTAACCACCCTAGTTTGAACTAGGGTGGTAGTGTAGACATATCCTAAGATTCTATGACGTGTTGGTCCTGGAAACAGCTGGTTCATCCATGCTCTGTTGTCTCTAACCCCTTATAACTGCTCTCCAAACTCTCTCCCTCCTTCCCCACTGGTGCTTAGTGAGTCCACTGGAGCTGGGCTTTGCAGTACAGAGGAGGTATGGGACCCCTGCATGAATTCCAGAAATCAAGTTGTTTGGCCCACAACACAGTGGAACTGCACCACTTCCTCAGAGTTCTAGAAGGATTTGACCCTCTATGCCCTTCTCTCTTTCCCCTGCAACTGCGCTCATGTCATATTTCTCATAGATGGAGTTGTTTCAAACCCTCAGACAGCTTCCAAACCAATGGCAGACAGCTCTCACCTCTGAGATTTGCAGTTTTACAAAAAGGGGTTAATGTTGCCCCCCTGAGTGATTTCTGTATTGCCCTATATCTGAGCACATCCATGTTTCAGGTTGTCTTCTTATATTCTCTTTGGGGTGTATTCTTGACATTCTGGAACAAAACACAGCTAGGGGTGATGGCAGTAAAAAATCTGGATCTCTTCATCTTACTTTATATTCTACTGGACCACCATACAATTGTCTTATTCCCTTCAACTGATGATTGTAAATTAGCGCCTGAAAGTATCATCCCTTTTCTGAAAGGGAAACAGTTTTGTCTCGTGTGTTTGAAAACACCCTGAGAAATTTGGGGGAAAACTCATCAGTTCCATTTTTCACTGCAATTACCACATATGCTGGAAATGAGACTGCAGCTGACTAGACTCAGTAATAAGGAAATGCTAAATGCATAGAGTGTTATAGAATGCTTAGAGATAAGACCAATCTTTTGGTGTGAATAAATCAGTGCTTTCTTACTCTTTTCAGACACCCTCCCAAGATATTTAGATAACTTTGGACTTGTTCTTACCTTAAAAAGCTGTTGAATGTCCTTGGAGTCATCCTCATTTTCATTTTGTAGGGTTTCGTTTGCCTTGTAATGGTCTGCATTATTGCTGAGTGCCATAAAGGGGAACAAATATGGCTTCCACATTGCTTGTATAAGGGGCTCTTCCTGGATCTGATTCCACAAGGAACACTCTTGGAAAAGCAATATCCTTTAACTAGGAAACAAACCCAAATTCCAGATGTGGGGCTGAATGGCATCAGCATCAGAAGAGTTAAACATCTCTTTCATACATGGGCAAATGTCTGTACCTCCTGCAGTTTACTGGGTCCTTACTGCAGTATTAACAGTAGTACAGGCAGGGGCACTAATCTGCTTTCTAAGATCCAGTGCCTTATCCACAGAGCATTAACTCATGGTTCCTTCCATCTTAGAGGTTACATTCATTATTATGTTTGTCTTAGTATGTGGAGGCAAGATTCAAAAGGAAGGAGTGCATACTGAGTGCCTTCCAGGAGATGCAGGCATTCTTCATAAACTTGCCATAAAATTGCATTGTACAAGTAATGGGCTTGATTTGTAGCTTCTTGAAGAAAGAAGGAATTGGATATGGAGTGACACAGTTCTGCTTTGCATGCCCCATTAACTGGAAGAGTTCAATTTAGGTCAATGATATTCGTCAATCACATGGTGCTCAATTTACTGAACAGATGGTATAGTGTTAATCCTTGCAGCATCAATGAAAATACCATATTAGCAGAAGCTATGTTTGCAGATAAAGGCTTAAAACTAAATTTAAAGACTGAAACTTCAGGCTGATTATTAATAGACCAAGGTCTTGTCTTTATACAGTGTGACCATGGTGCAACACTGAGTAGAAAGCATTCATGCATTAGCTGTGTAAGAACTGGCATTTGGATTGTATGATTTATTTCTTTGTTCTGCTTTCTGAGATAAAGGTGGGAGCAGAGTGAGGAAAGAGGAGGGACTATTACACTGTTGCAAACATTCCATTCAAATAATATGGAAACACGAGTTATACTTTACTCGGTAAGTAATGCTCGTGTATTGTTCTCAGTGAGAAATAACTGCTCCTTGATTGTGTTCTTACCTTGGTAGGGGACACGCAGGGACTGCTGAGAGGAAAGTCTTTCTAAGTTGTTTGAGTTAGTCTGGGTGAGACCAGTTACACCAGAAATCATTACCATATGTTGTAGTCCAGTATGTTAATCAAACTATTTACTACGCTGAGGAGGCTTAACCAAAAAGTTTATATTTATTATATCCTCTGTGCCAGACATATTATCTGTGAGGCTGGATGGTGCAGTTTTTCCCTTCCCAACAGAAATGGAAGCTACTGCTCTGAACATCTTCTTCATACAGACGGGAGGATGAAGATAGAGGACTTCCAGATAGGGAGGTGTTTTTTTTCTTCCACCAGATGCTGCAGCTGTTCCACCTACTGGCAGCAAAGCAGTCTTCTCAGTCAAGAACCAGCTTCTCCTATTGCTTTCACTTCAGATTCTTGTCTGGTGAAATCATACTTCACAAACCAATGGAGAAGCAGAAGGGGAGCAGGGCTTTTTCATGCCAGAGACAGAGAGAGTGCAAAGCATGATCTCCCATTGCTTTCAGAAGAGGAAAGAGATCACTACTCCCCATTATTTAAACCCCAATCTCCACTTATTTTTCAGGGTTCTAAGAATGATTAATTGGTTCTGCAACTTCACAGTCTTTCTTTTAGCTGAGGGATGTACCTTAGGATTTATGAGTCCCTATGCAGTACTATAAAACTAGTACCCCTATGCCTAATGGCAGCCGAGAGGTGACCATTTTTAGAGATGTGATTTTATACTCTTCAGCAAGACATTAATGAAATATTTTTAAACTAAGGTCCTGTAGACAAACATAGCAAATTCAGAAATTGACAGTATGTACTGGAGGCTGGCAAATGCCTGTTAAATGAATTCATTACCACTTGAATGGCTCTTTCGTAGGTTCAGTGTCTGCTAAAAGGTCTGGCAGGCTTTTTCACTTTTAAGTTAACTAGATCCTCTCCTGAGGAAGCAGAGCCACAGACTAGGGATAGGAAGAGGTGTATGGTGGATATTAAGACCTAGTGGTACCCCAAATTTTTGGATGCCCTATGTAGCTGCATATTCTGCATATGTGTAAGAATGATCCTGCTCTAGCTCTTATTTATATACAGTCCTTCCTGTATTGTACTTTAAAGCTGGGGAGAAAAGGAGAGATTTATTGTTTTTAAACAAAAGCTAATCTATTTTTCTGTAATCAGTACTTCTTGCTGGAAGGGCATAACAAGTAGGGTTCCGCAGGAGTCTGTTTTGGGACCGGTTCTGTTCAATATCTTCATCAATGATTTAGATGATGGTATAGATTATTAAGTTTGCAAGGACGTTTACAGGATCTGTCGAAAAAGGCTTTCTTTCTCAACAGATCCCCCTCTAGACTCCTGCTTTTTGCTGACAAAGTGCTGAGTCAGCAAAAATGGCGGCCATTTTTATGCAAATTAAGCATGGGATATTTAAATCTCCACTTCATTTGCAATATTGACCTGTCTAATCTGCATCCCTCTGCCAACAGAGGGATGCAGTCTAGACATACCCTTAGTGTGGGATCCAAAGGCTGTTTAAGTCAATGGGAAATATCACACCTTAGTGATCCACTCTCAGGCAGGAGTGAAGTTTTGATACAAATTTTAAATGCAGCAGAGCCTGAAGGAAATGACACTCTATGTGGTTTTCCACTGCATAGGCAACACTTTGAAAGCATAATCCTTTTTAATATTGAGAAATGGTTTCCTGTAGGAAATAAGAAAAATGTTCTATCCAGTCTCCCAGATGGGTTAAGATAAGATTTCATTGGGAGGGAAACACGTTTGTTTTGAAATACATTTGTTTTGCACTGCTCCTCAAGTCCTCCTCATGGACAAATGGATTAAGGCTTTGTCATTTTTTGTTTCTTTTTGTTTTAATGCCAAGTACACTTTGTGAACAGTAGAGGTGTGCCCTACTATCCTGACCTTTTAAGTCTACTTTTTTTTGATCGCACTTCCAGATTATTTCTTCTACACAGGCTAAAAACTGCTTCAGGCATGAAATGGAAAGCCAGGCAAGTTATAAAATTCTGAAAAGGTCAAATGGCACAGGTACTCTATGCTTTTGCAATTCATCAAATACATAGGGAACTGAGAGATAATTGTTTTTATTACAAGAAAGGGAGGAGAACAGAAAAAAAGCCTTGTGATCTGACTGTCAATGCTGTTATTGCAGATGATGAATCATCCACCTTCATTTAGACTAGGGTTATGCTTAAACAAGTTATTTTTTCTCTCTATGATCAAGCAATTTGAAACTTTTATTTCTGTCCTCTGATAGGGCTTTGTCTTGTGCTTTGTTTTCCTCATGGCAGCAAGGTCATCCATATATTGTGACTTCATGCAAGTAGTGCTGTCAGTATTTACTAGACCAACAATGAGCTGACCTTGATTATCTGAATGGTAACTTGAGTGGAAAATGCACTGATGTATCTGAAGTCAGTTTGATGGTAATCCTTGTCAAGGTACTCTTTTGAGAATTATGTAGCACAAGAATGCACTGTGTCACAGCTTCCACAGATGGTGAAATATGATAGCTTTGTTTATTTTCCATAGTTTAGAGGAGGACTTAGAGAACTGCCTCATCATCTAGTGTTTTGAGGGCTACAATTCTTTTTTTCTCAGGGTTGGTCTACACTGCAGAGCTAGGTTGACGTAAGGCAGCTCACATTGACCTATAACAATGCTCCTGCTGATGTAAGTCACCCACAACATTTACCTAACAACTCCAGCTCCCCAAGAGGCATAGCATTTAGGCCAGGTCTGCACTAAAGGGGAAAGTTGAATGTAATTAACATAACTTTACTAGAGTCGATGTACCTTAATTCAAGTTTCCCTGCCAACCCACAGCGGAAGGCCGATGGAAAAAATGTTTCCATCAGCTTCCCTTACTCCTTGCAAAAGCAGGAATACTGGCCACCAGTGGGGGAGGTGGAGAGGAGAGGCAAATGCCCTCTGAGTTTTATTTAGTGGGTCTTAACTAAAACTGCTAAATCAAACTCCAGAAGATAGACTGCGGCAGCATCAATCTTCCGCTTAGTGTAGTTAGGGCAACACAGTGTCTGTGTAGACATTGTGTTACTTATATCACCTTGCCTGGGCTGTTGACCCTGGGGTAGCTGGACTCTAGCTGTGAACCCTAGGGCTGAGGGAGAAGGGAGCTCTGTCTGCCAGTGTCCCAAAATGTCTTATGCAGCTAAGTTGGTGGAAGGCTTGTGAAGATGTGCACCACTGACTGAGAGGCTGTATTGTGGACATGAACCACTGCAGTAATTACTGTGGTGACTGTATATCAATCTTAATTTTGTATTGTAGGTAAGCCTTTACAAAGTGCTTAAGAACATGCATATCTTTGAACTGAGTGAGTGCTTTGCAGGAGTTTTATGGTAGACACATTTATGCATGTGCTCAACTGCTTTGCAGGACTGGTGTCTAAGAGAGCACCACATTATTGAGAAATTACAGGAAACTATCACATGGATAACTTACAGTAGTGATCAAAGGACAAGGAAACAAGAAGCAAATCTCAGCCAAATGTGGGCAGACAATTATGAATACATGCAAGTGCTCTGCACGATCAGAATTTAAGCTTTTTGTAATACCTTCAACTAGTTTTTTGACATAAAAGGGAACTTTTCAGTATTCTCAGGCTACAGTGACTGTCTCTCATCTGTAAGTGCAATTTGTAGCCTTTTACTGTACCCAGATGATGAAATGTGATGTCTTACCCTCTAAATAGATGTTTAGTGTTGACATCCATTGTTGTAACTAAATTTTGGTGCATATTTGCTGAATTTTGGCCTATGCTTAGTCTGGTAAGGGAAAAAGTTGTTGAGATTTTCACTTTTGAAACTCATACAAAACTGGTGACTTTGTTTCTGCATTTCCATGTACTTTTGGTTTTTATTTTCCCTTTATTATTGTTTTCTTTACTGGTATTTATACTAATCTAATTATATGAATAGAGTGAATCACTGTGGATTTGCCACCTAACAAAAACACAAAGATTAAGGTCTTGATTCTGTCATGAGCATTCTATTATGACTCTCTGCAAAGTACACAATTTAATGGGCTTCAGGAGCTGACAGCTGGCAACAGCTCTTGCTTTTATATCTCCAGATCTGCATATTCCTTGGGTTTATGCTGTTGAGAATCTTCAACAGAGGGGATTATTTCCCCTCTGCATTTTTATTAAAGGAACATTATATGCTTGGTACTAAGATTTTGTCTACACCAGTGGTTCTCAGACTTTTTGGCCCGCAGCCCACCCAACTCAATGCAAGCTTTTCTGTGGACCACCAGCCAACCACCCATTATGGAAAAATGACTTTGCTTATCTCTAAATGTCTTAAATACTATATTATTCATATTAGGCTACTAGCACATAAACACTTAAATTATGTAGTCATAACATAAGGGTCTGTTCATAACCTGTAAGAAAGGAAATAATATTAATAAAAATCAATATAATTAAACAGATTAAACACTTGAACTTTATTGTGTTTGTTAGTTTACTAAAATTTGTTTTAAATAAAGTTAAATATTAATTTATGTCCAAAACAAAAGGTTTCAACATTGTCTTTATTTATGACAGGGTGAGGAACCTGTATTGGGCCAGAGGCCACTGATTCACAGAAAAATCAGTTGGGGGCCACACAACCCTTACTGATGTGGCCACCAACTGAGACACCTCACTCTCCTGGTGTTCCAGCCCCACAGGGTGGGGAGAGAAGGCAGGGAGGACCAAGGTTTAAGGGTTCCCACAGGCCAAATTATCTCTTTTGGGGTCCTGGAGTTAGTAGATTTTGTGAGCCACCCTAGACTTTAGGATGGGGCAAAAAATGAGGGGCTCAGAGGGCTGCCTGGGATCGGAATAGGGATGGGAGTGCAGAAGGGGTGAGGGCAGGGGGTCTGGATGGGAGGTAGGGTGCTGTAGTGGAATGGGAGGAGCTCTGGCTGGGAGTTTGGGCAGGAGGGGATGAGGATACAAGGCCTGCCTGGGAGAGAGTGTTCAAGTGCAGGTGGGGGTGTGGTATCTGGCCAGGAGGGAGGGTGCATACAGGGGCAGAAGACCATTTCGCAGGTCCCAGGGCAGCATAATTTTGTGGGGCCCCTCTTTGCCACAGCGCATGCGTGGGGCTTCTTGAAGCACGGGGCCCAGGGCGGCCGCCCCGCTTGCCTTGCCCTATATCCGCCCCGGGTGTAGAAGTGGGCTGGAGGTGGTGTCTGGGAGGGAGGGAAGGCACAGGAGCAGCTGGGGGGAAGGGTTTGAGTGAGTCATGGTGGGAGGGAGGGTGAAGGAGCAGGCTGGAGGAGGAGGGCCTTGGCAAGGGGGGTGGTCCATGAGTGCAATGGAGGTTCAGGGTCTGGGCATGAGGGGGCACTTACCTGACTTCACCCCCCCCCCCCCCCACTGCTCCCAGGCATTGCCTCCTGCTGCTTCCATTGGCTGTGATTCCTTGTTGCCATTCCCCCAGCCAGGGGGACGGGGGAGTGGAAACGCATGGAGCCGCTTGCTCCCCCCGTGAGCAAGATCCAGCCTGCGAGCCTTGGGGCTCCCTCTCCCGGCAGTGGGAATCCAACACTGGTACACCAGCCTCGCGGCGGGGAGGGGAACCTGCAGGGCAAGAGAGCCAGCGTGGGCTCCCAGTTGTGGGGAGTTGTGTGGAAGGGGAGAGCTGAGCCTCAAGCCATGTCCCACCTGCAAAGCAGCCACAGACCACTGCAGTCTGAGAACCACTGCTCTACACTTAATACTGCGGGAAGCAATTTCTCTAGGGTCAATTTAGTGGGTCTAGACTTGCTAAATTCACTGCTGATTGTACTCCTGTTGATTCTGGTACTCCACCGGATTGAGAAGTATACCTTTGTTCGACATTGCCCCCTAGTGTAGACATGGCATAAGAGTAATAGTGATCATTTAGGCTACGTCTACACTGCAAGGTTTTTGTGCAAAAACCCGTGGAGCATCCACACCTCAAATGCGCTTTTGCGCAAGTAAATCAACAATAAAATGGCAGAACAGAGGGCTTTTTCTGGTGTAGGTAAACCTCCTTTTATGAGGCATAACTCCTTTTTGCACTACAGCTATTGCTCAAAAAGGCAAGTGTGGATGCTCCCAAGGGAAAAAGCACAGGTTCTCTAATGGCCATTCTGTGAACGGCCATCAGAGCTTTCTTGCGCAAAAGCGTCCATGCAGTGTGGATGCTCTCTTGCATAAAAGCACATCACTTTTGCGATGTGCTTTGAGGTGTGGATGTGCTCTTGCGCAAGAAATTTTTGCGCAAAAAACTCTTGCACAAGAAGCATGTAGTATAGAGGTAGCCTTAGGAAGCATATACTTTGACTGTGACTCTTTTTTGTGTGTGTGACAGGTTGCCTATCTGCAGTGACCAAGGTGCTGAAGTGGCTGCAATACTGGGAAGACTGTGGATTGCCAGAGTTCCGTGAGTGCACAAGAGTAACAAGCAGGTCAAGGATAAAGATGATTCCAGTCAAAGAAGACTGGAGAACCAGAAGGGTGATTTCGGCTGCCGCATGTTCCCTTATACAGGGCATCTTGGTTAGACTGCAGTGGCGATACAGGTTGAATCTCTCTAGTCTGGCACTCTCTGGTCCGGCAACATGCGTGGTCCGGCATGATTTTAGTTAGTTGGATGTCCACTTATCATGGGTGTGACCAAGTTTCCTGTGGTCTCTTAAAGTTTGTTAGCAGCCACCTGTCCTGGCGCTCAGTGGTCTGAGCTGTTATTTAGCTCTAATTTATCCCTAAATGTCTTCTAAGAGCCCAGTGAGCAGTGGAAGTGTTGGTAATGCTGCTAGGCAATAGTGACCTCATGTGGTTTGGCACAAAAAAAGTCTGTGTTTTGACACTGCATAAATCCTAAGGGTGCCTTACTAGAAAAATTCAACTTGTACAAGGTGGAGAGGGTGCTAGTCCATTGTATACATGGTATGGAACATACTTTCAGAAAATTTAAAAGAGCAACACTCTAATGAAGAAACTAGAGAACCTAAACCACCAAAAAAGAAAATCAACCTTCTCTTGGTGGCATCTGACTCAAATGATGAAAATGAACATCCATTGATTTGCACTGTTTTGGATTGTTATTGCGCAGAATCTGTCATCAGCATGGAAGCATGTCCTCTGGAATGGTGGTCAAATCATGAAGGGGCATATGAATGTTTACCATATCTAGCACTTAAATACCATGCAACGCTGGCTACAAAAGTGCCATACAAATGCTTTTTTTCCACTTTCAGGTGACATTGTGAATAAGACGTGGGCAGTATTATTTCTCATAAATGTAAACAAATGTATGTGTCATACCTCTGGTCTACACTAGGGGATAAGTTTGAATTAAGATACGCAACTTCAGCTACGTTAATTATGTAGCTTGAAGTATTTTAACTAGAATTTTGGTGCTGTCCACAATGCTCGAAGTCGAAGGAAGCACACTGTCCCTTAAACTTCCCTTACTCCTCATAGAAGCAGGACTACCGGCATTGACACAAGCACCTTTTCAGTTCAAATTAATGTGTCTTCACTAGACCAGCTAATTCGAACTCTGGAAGATCGACTGTAGCTGCTTTGATCTTATCTGTAGTGTAGACATGGCTTTGGTGATTAGCTGAACAAAAAGTAAGACTGAGGGGATTTGTAGGCTCTAAAGTTCTACATTGTTTTGTTTTTGAGTGCAGCTATGTAAAAAATTAATAATTCTACATTTGTAAGCACTTTCATCATAAAGAGATTGCACAACTTTACTTGAATGAGGTGAACTGAAAAATACTATTTCTTTAATGTATCTTTTTTTACAGTGTACATGTAACCCTGACAGGCAGAACCAAAGCTGGGACCTCTAGAACTTCCTACATCAGTCTTTACCACTTGAGGTAAAAGTCAGCTTGCTCTCAGCTCAGGCTGTACAGCACACTCATTCTTTTTCTGAATAGTGGTCTAAATGCTATTACATGGGACAGTGAACCACACCCAGTAGGGCTGTGTCTAGACTGGCCAGTTTTTCTGGAAAAATCAGCTGCTTTTCCGGAAAAACTTGCCAGCTGTCTACACTGGCCGCTTGAATTTCCGCAAAAGCACTGACTTCCTACTGTAAGAAATCAGTGCTTTTTGCGGAAATACTATGCTGCTCCCGTTCGGGCAAAAGTCCCTTTTGTGCAAAAGGGCCAGTGTAGACAGCTGAGATTTGTTTTCTGCAAAAAAGCCCCTATCGTGAAAATGGCGATTGGAGCTTTTTTGCGCAAAAGCGTGTCTAGATTGGCCAGGGACGCTTTTCTGCAAAAAGTGCTTTTGTGGAAAAGCATCCATGCCAATCTAGAAGCTCTTTTCCGAAAATGCTTTTAACGGAAAACTTTTCCGTTAAAAGCATTTCCGGAAAATCATGCCAGGCTAGACGTAGCCTGGGTGTGTGGGTTACACACATATTTGTAATAAAAATAATAATATAAAGTGAGGCTAAGACACATTGCATTCTGTGTTGTAATTGAAATCAATGTTTAAAAATGTAGAAAACATCCACAATATTTATAACTTTAAATTAATATTCTATTATTGCTAATGGTGAAAATAAAACTGTGATTAATCATGACTAATTTTTTAATCTAGTTAATTTGTTTTGCATTCATTGCTTAAAGCGGCATGCCCTGACTCCAGATGATTGCCTCTTCTGTTTATTCCTTCTGTAACTGAGAAGTCAAAATCCAGCTGGAAGGGTTTGAAAGGCTGGGGCCTGCCAGAATCTGCATGTGGAAGAATCTCCATGTGCATGTAGATTGTTTATTATTTTGTTTTCTCTGCAATATCCTAAACTAACTGTCCTGGCCTGGCACTATCCCTGTGACTAGTGACTGGCAGATGCTGCTGCACTAAGGGGACAGTGACTGGGCTGACCACAGTGACTTGCCAGGGGGCTGTAGCCCCCAGGCTGGAGGAGGTGGGATGCAGGTCCCTGGCCAGGTGCTGGCTGGAGGCCTGAGACCCAGGGGTGTGTTAGCCTAGGGGTTCCTGGAACGACTCAGAGCGCACTTGGCTCTGCCAGCCACAGCCTTGGAACGCGCTGCAAAGACGTAACCCCAGCAACCGGCCCCGCCCCCCAGCGCTCGCGTCCTCCCCGCGCGAACTAGGCCTTCCCGGCCGCCGGGGCGCGGCCCCATGACAGCCCCCGCTGTCTCAGCTGCGTCCCCCAGCTGCCCTGGAGCTGCGGAGCCCGAGAGCGCAGCGCCCTTGCCGGAGACGCTCAGCGCCCCGCGGGCCCGGCCACAGACCGAGGGGGTAAGAGCGGCCCTGCGGGCCCGAGTCTTCCTGCCCTGTTCGGCGGGGGCGGGGC